ACTGTGTTCAGTGTGTGAGTGTGAGTGTGTGTGAGTGTGAGTGTGTGTGCAGTGTGTGTGTGTGTATGTAGTGTGTGTGTGTGCAGTTTGTGTGTGTGTGCAGTTTGTGTGTGTATGCAGCAGTGTGTGTGTGTGCAGTTTGTGTGTGTGTGCAATTTGTGTGTGTGTATGCAGTGTGTGTGTGCAGTTTGTGTGTGTGTGTATATATATGCAGTGTGTGTATGTGTGTGTCCAGTGTGTGTGTGTGTGTGACTGTGTTTTAGTGTGTGAGTGTGAGTGTGTGTGTGTGTGTGTATGCAGTGTGTGTGTGTGTGCAGTGTGTGTGTGAGTGTGTATGCAGTTTGTGTGTGTGTGTGCAGTTTGTGTGTGAGTGTGTATGCAGTGTGTGTGTGTCTATGCAGTGTGTGCAGTGTGTGTGTGTGTGTCTATGCAGTGTGTGCAGTGTGTGTGTGTGTGTGTGCGCAGTGTGTGTGTGTGTATATATGCAGTGTGTGAGTGTGAGTGTGTGTGTGTGCAGTGTGTGTGTAAGTGTGAGTGTGTGTGTATGTATGCAGTGTGTGTGTGTGTATGTATGTAGTATGTATGCAGTGTATGTGTATGTATGCAGTATGTATGCAGTGTGTGTAAGTGTGAGTGTGTGTGTATGTATGCAGTGTGTGTGTATATATGCAGTGTGTGTGTGTGTATGCAGTATGTATGCAGTGTGTGTGTGTGTGTGTGCAGTGTGTGAGTGTGAGTGTGTGTGTTGTGCAGTGTGTATGCAGGGTGTGTGTGTAGTGTATGCAGTGTGTGTGTAAGTGTAGTGTATGTAGTGTGTGTGTGTGTTTGTGTACTGTGTATGCAGTGTGTATGTATGCAGGGTGTATGCAGGGTGTATGCAGTGTGTGTATGTATGTATGCACTGTGTGTGTACTTGCAGGGTGTGTGTGTAGTGTATGCAGTGTATGTGTGTAGTGTATGTAGTGTGTGTAGTGTATGCAGTGTATGTAGTGTGTGTATGTATGTACTGTGTTTGCAGTGTGTATGTATGTACTGTGTATACAATGTGAATGTTTTGTATTGTGTGGGGTTGATGCTGAATTGCAATTTTTGTTGTGGTTGTTGGTTGCAGAGAGAAGAGGAGCATAAACGGAAGGCTAAGACTAAGGCTACTGCATTACAGGTGTCCTTTAATTTCCCTTTTCACATGCAATGCCTAGCAATGATAGCAATCCTCATACTAGTGTTCTTAGACACATGTTTATAGATGTATAAGAGTAGAACATTTTTGAATATGATGCCTCGGGTTAATGAAAACTTTTTTTTTTCAACGCCATATGTATATTTGTTGCCTCGGGTTAATGATTTAGTTAATTTGTTTTTTGTTTTTTTTTTGTTTGGATAGATATGGATCGAATGAAGCTTTTATTGATCTTATTGTTAGAGATGTCTTATTTGGAAACAATTTGTATTTGTACGATTCTTGTGGTGATGATGCTACGTGGCAAACAGAGACATGTTGAACGACCCACATTGACTAACCGTTCACTTATTAGACGAGAGATTAGTTTGTGTTATCTGAATGGTATAATAGGGAATACTGATACTGAATGTGTTAACGAATTGAGAATGGATAGAAGGACTTTTGGCATATTATGCGACTTACTTCGTCAAGATGGGAGGGTAAAAACTGATGGTTTGGTGTCTGTAGAGGAACAGGTGTGTATGACTTTACAAATATTAGCACATCATACTAAGAATCGTAGTGTTGGCGGTAGATTTTATAGGTCGGGAGAGACTATAAGTAGGTATTTCAATAGCGTATTGCAAGGAATTTTGCGATTACAAGGTTTCCTACTAAAAGTCCCACAGCCTGTGCCTATTGATTCTACAGATGCTAGGTGGCGATGTTTTAAGGTATGATGAGAATATTTTTTCATTTTCCTTAAGCTTTAACTCTTCATTCCCTTTGTATAAATTAACAAAAAAGTTTTTATTTTTTATTTTTAAGAATTGCTTGGGAGCATTGGATGGAACACACATTGATGTGCATGTACCTGAAATTGACAAACCAAGATACCGAACAAGAAAGGGTCGAGTCGCAACTAATGTGTTAGGTGTGTGTTCAGGAGATATGCAGTTCATATATGTGTTTCCGGGTGGGAGGGTTCCGCATCAGACTCTAGAGTGCTACATGATGCAATTAGTAGGCCTAATGGTTTTAAGGTACCAGCGGGTAAGATTATTACTTAGTCTCAACTTTCTAAGTTAGGTTTAGTTCTGTTTGTCAACTACAAAACACTAATAAGGTCTTTTTTTTTTTTTCATTAGGTTGTTATTACCTTGTAGATGGTGGTTATACAAATGGTGAAGGATTCCTTGCACCCTATAGAGGAATACCTTATCATTTATCTGAATGGGAGGGACGAACACCTTCTAATAAGGAAGAATATTTTAACATGAAGCATTCTAAGGCAAGGAATGTAATTGAACGCTGTTTTGGCTTGCTAAAAGGAAGGTGGTCGATACTAAGGAGTCCATCTTTCTATCCGATAAGGACACAAGGTCGAATAATTACCGCTTGTTGCCTACTACACAATCTTATTAGGCAAGAGATGTTAGTAGATCCAATGGAGAATTTGCCAATAATAGAAGATGGACAAAATACAGAAGAAGGTGAATATGTTGGTAGTGTTCAATCATCGGACCAGTGGACTGCAATGAGGAATGATATGGCTGAGGAAATGTATAATGAGTGGAGAGCAATTAGGAACCAGCAACCGAACTAGCTATATGTTTTAATGATAACATTTTATTTTAGTATTCCTTTTTATCATGCATTTGTTAGATATTAGCACAATGATTGGATGATATGCAAATTAATTGGATATTATGCAAGTTGATTGGATATTATGCAAGTTGATTGGATATTATGCAAATTGATTATTTGTATGGTATTTTCCTTCATTAAAATATTTTTGTTTAGGTATGGATAACGAAAATATTTTGAATGCTACTCAAGAGCCAAAAGGAAGAAGGCGTAAATGGGAAGCATTTGAGGAAGAAGTATTACTAGGAGTTCTTGAGGATTTTGTTGCTCGGAAGCAACGGTGTGACACCGGTGCTTTCAAACAAGGTACTTTGGTTGAAATAGCAAAAGCTGTCAATGTTTTATGTCCTCATTCAAATATAAAGGCAAATCCACATATTGAGTCCAAGTTGAAGAAATGGAAAAAAAACATATAGTATGGTCGTTGACATGATAAACACAAGTGGATTTGCATGGAATGATGTCAAAAAGTGCGTTGAAGTTGACAGTGATGACGCATGGCAAACTTATGTGCAGGTTCATATCCTATTTTATTTATGCATTAGTTATATTCTTGCTCCTATATTTGTTACGCATGCTAAATTTTAGTTTTGCTATGTTGATATAATCTTAGAGAAATAAAGAAGCCGATGGATGGAGAAGCAAACCTTTTCCACTGTTTGATAGATTTGCATATATATTTGGAAAAGATCGGGCTACGGGTAATGTAGCCGAAACCCCTGCTCAAATGGTGGAGGAACAAAGTCATGATCATGTTGGTGAAAGTGATATTGGAGGTGATAATTTTGTTTCTTCAATGAACCAACAAAGCCAACAAAGCACCCCATCTGAAAATAGCCAAAGAAAGAGGAAAAGAGCTGTGGGAAGTTCAAGTGATGGAACCGAGGCAATTATCAGTGGACTGAAAGATTTTTATGTTGAAAGTGGGAAGAGGATGCAAAATGGTAACTGAAGCTTTAGTTCAAGGTACTGCAGATCATACTGACATAGCTAATGAACTTGAAGCAATGGGTCTCTCTCCTATGGATCAAATTGATGCATTGTCTCTTATTTTGGATAAACCAAAAAATGTGGGAGTGTTCAGGGCAATCAAACCGGAACTCAAGAAAGTGTTCGTCCAAAGACTTTTAAGAGACAACGCAAGCGGATGAGGATTTTGGCTAATGTTAACATGGATATATTTTATTAACGTTAACATGGATGTATTTTATTAATCATACAGTCTTATGTTATGACTTATAACTTAGCTTTGCACTAGTATTTTGGCTTATGTTTACTAGCCATTTTGTAAATTATGGAGATCTATTTTGGCTAATGTTAACTAATGTTAACTAGGATTTTCTAAATTATGGAGATCTTATGTACTTGTATTTGTTGAAGTTGCATGTATTGGCCACTATTATTTTTCTTCTGTTGGGTGATAGAGTTTAAATCAAGCTACATTTGCAAATTAAACCCAATTCTATTAGCAGGTAATAGAAACAAAACAATTGTCAATTTTTTTTAAGATTCATAATATACATGGCAAAAATATGCTCCAATTAACCCATATCATGAGATTTGTAGCATTACTCTATTACACAATGACAAAAATTTGTAGTCCTAGTCTAAGCAAACACAAATCTGGTGAACAGTACTGTTTTTCTTATCCTGCTTCTTAGTCCGAGACTGCACCAAACGCTTCACTAAGTTAGTCCAGCTTAGTCCAGTCTAAGCCAGTCCAGCTTAGTCCCGGCAGCTAGTCCAGTCCGAGACAGTCCGGCGCAACAAACGCACCCTTAGTTTCTTACGTGGTGTTGAATCATTTGAAGGTAAGGCCTTCTGTTGTCAAATATGACAACAAGTGTCAAATCCATTTAATAATTTCTAATAAATGTTATTTTGTGTTACAAGTATTTGATTATTTATCTCAATAATTGAACTTCACAAGAGATTTAAAAATTTATAGAGTGATACTATTATTTAATATATCGGATGAAGCAAAAAATTGTATAAAATGCTAATTGCTACATAGACCAACAAATATCATTTTGAAATTTTAAATTTGACATTTCCCTTAAAAATGCTCTAATTTTCTCAATTTTTTATTTTCGAGACCACTTTATTTGAAAGGTAAAATTTCAGTAACAGCCGTGATAAAAACCCTTTACGAAATAATACCGGACACTGAAAATATACAAGAAAAATAAAGCACAAGATCCATTGCCATTCACCTCTCTCTCCCCCTTACGTGCTCGCACACTCCTTCCCTAACCAGCAAAATCCCCAATTTCGTTCCCGCACCGAGAGATAATTAGGGCAAATACAGATCCCCAAGATTGGGAAATGGAAGAAAATCGCGTGCAATTGTTGCAATGCGGTTGCTGATTGATCGAATCCATTGAGGTCGGAAGCTGTACTGGAATTTGATCCGCTGATTGATGCTCTTCGGCCGAGCCCTGGTTCCAAGACACCGCCCATGGATTCGTTCTGGAGCCACAATGTGGCACCGGACTCATGGGATTTCCTCATCGCTGTCTACTTCGCTTTCGGATTTTTCGTTGCTCGCCTCTTCTTTGACAGATTCATCTTTCGCGTAAGATTTCGAGTTATTTGTTGCCATTTCAAGTAGCTTAAGCTTTAGGTTTCTGTTGAATTTTCTGGGAAAGTTGGTGGGGTTCTGTTTGGCTTCTAAGAAAATTGAGGAAAAAGAGAAAGAAAACGAAAATCTTGAATTGTATTATCACTTTATCTTGTCCTGCTTTGCTTTTTTGTCTTTTACTAGCATTTTCTTTTCTTTTTTTTGTTGAAGAATTGTTTTTTAAGTTTTAAACTGGTATCCTAGTTAGATTGGCGCTTTTGTTTATTGGACTTAATTGATGGCAAGTAAAGGCATTTAGGAGTGACTTTCAGTTTCTAAGCTACGCATTCGAAGAATCGAAGTCAGTCTTTTAATGGTTGAGAAAGAATCTTAACATAATGGTCTTTTAGTGGGTGAGCAGAGCAGATATGTTTTTTTATTTTTTATTATGGTGATCTGCTTGAATTGAGTTAGTGTAGTAATTTCAGTGATTTGGAAGCACAAAAAAACTGCCCTATTTGAGGATTATATAGTTAGTGGTCGTTTGTGGGGGAAATCTTGTACTGATTTTCGAAGAATTTGAGGTTTAGAGGATTTATCAAATCCGTGATATTGGTTGTGAGGTTTATTATGAAATTGGTTTGATGATGGAATGTTCAAGGTTCTGATAGTGCAGGTTTCTGGTTAGGCATCTGGAAATGGTGATTTTCATAGCCCTTAAACTTGGTAGTAGCTTAACCTTGTCCTGATTTCAGGAAAAGTTGAGATTTGCGCTGAGTTGTTAGATTTGGTCCTTTGGAGTATAGGTTGACTAGTTACATATTAACTTGCTGATGGCTGGCCGTTCAAGGTTTTGTACTGCAAGTTTTGGTGTAGCATCTGAAGGGGGTGCTGGTGTTAGACCCTTAACTTGTAGATGTTTAAGGTGAAATAGATGATGCCCTTGGAATTGTTAACTGGTTTTCCAAGTGTTGGTAATATAGGCTGTTTGCACACTGTTATATTGGCTTCATCCCAATGTTTGGTGCTTAAGTTCATTCTAGAGTCAAGACTGAGTTCTACAGCATATCCTAGGTGAACTAATGTTTTTGTGTTCTGCAGGGATATAAAACAATGTACTTTATTCTTGAGATATGAAAAAAATGATCTTCCTTTTCTTTTGACATTTATTTTCACCATGGTAACGGAGCAACATACTCGTTGTAACTTCACGTGTGCCCCTCTAAACATTATCTTACCTTGAAGGCTTAAACTATAGCCGCCCACCCCCCACCACATCATCTGTAGCTAGAATGCAGCTTTACCACATTTATATGTTTTCACCAATTCACAAATGAATGCAAAAAAAGTGAGATTCAAATTGAAATATATGAACAAAGTGTCAGTCTCAGGCAAACAGTAGATACTACCTGGAACACGTGCTTAATTTGATTGTGAAATTAGCAACAGTGTTCGTGCAGAAAAAAAAAAACATATATATAGTTCAAAAGTGTTGAGATCTTAGGTTAAACTATAACCATATCTTACCTTAAAACTATATCCCTCATACTACAATATTTATGTTTTTCCTTTCTGCTTTTCAGAAAATTTCTGTCTGGTTGTTGAGGAAGGGATCTGCTCCATTGAAGCTTGATATGGCCACGCTGGCAAAGATTGTAAAATGTTCGGAGTCAATGTGGAAGCTAACATACTATGCCGCTGTTGAAGCATGCATTCTTAGCATAGGCTACCATGAGCCTTGGTTCAGAGATACAAAAGAGTACTTTAAAGGCTGGCCAAACCAAGAGCTGGGGTGAGCGATTCATACGATTGGCTTAATAGTCCTAAAACTCTCACTACTGGTTAGATAACCATTTTTTTTTTTAAATTGCTGAAGATGGGTCAGTCATGTCTTTAATTTTGCATGATTGTTTGGAATGACTTGAATATGTAAAACTCGAGATCTATGTGAGTTGAGTTTTACAGATGTAGATGGCCAAAATTGTCTATTCTGACTCTATCATTTCTCATTTCAGGCTTCCCCTAAAGCTTTTCTATATGTGTCAGTTGGGATTCTACAGCTACAGCATTGCTGCCCTCCTTACATGGGAGACTCGAAGGAAGGATTTCTCAGTGATGATGTCTCACCATGTAATTACTGTTCTTCTAATTGGGATCTCATACATAACAAGGTATATTTCAGGTTTTCTGCAAGTACTAATGTCAGTACTGCAAAGAACAACTTTTTAGCTGTGTTTTTTTTTTTTTTTTTTGTGATGTGAAGGACCTCATGCAATTATTTTCTTTCGTGTTGTTGTCCACTTTCAGCTTTTTTCGGATTGGCTCAATCATTCTTGCCCTGCATGACGGAAGTGACGTATTTATGGAAAGTGCCAAGGTTTTCAAGTATTCTGAGAAGGAGCTCGCGGCAAGTGTGTTCTTTGGATTTTTTGCTGTTTCATGGGTCATACTGCGGTTAATATTCTTCCCCTTCTGGGTCATAAGCGCATCAAGGTCTGCTTTCTTGGTAAATCATTTATTAAACCGCATTTACATGTATGGTGGCTCCTCCAACTTATCTGTTCTTATGGTTGATATTTTCCAGCTATGATCTTCGTGACTGCTTGGATCTATCGAAGCCCTCCCCCAAAGCTCTGTATTATGCATTCAATACAATGTTACTGACCCTTTTTGTGTTCCACATATACTGGTGGGTTATGATTTGCTCAATGATAAGGAGACAGCTGAACAATAGAGGAAAAGTTGGAGAAGATATTAGATCAGGTAAACCATATAATCTGCTTGAAAGTTTAATTTTTACAACGTCGTATACGGCTTATGGAATTTATTTTGTGAAGCACATTATGATATTTTAGAAAGTATACTTTCTCTGCCTCTCTCTCTAATTAATCCAGTAATGGCTGGAAGCATTTAGTCAGTTTCTTCTGTTGGGTTTTTTCCAGCCCACGATAAGTTGTCCTAAGTCTATTGGGAATTAATAGTCTTAGAAGTTTAAATTGTTTTCCCAATTGGAGTTGTTTTCCCAATTGGAGTTGTTTACCCAATTGGAGTTAGTTTCTCAATTGGAGTAGGATTCATAGCTAGATTCCAATTAGGATTAATAATCCTTATTGAAGAAGACCTTTATTATGTCTATATAAAGGGGCTATTGTACTAGTTTTGATAAGGGGGGCAAAGTGTGTGCGAGAGAAAAGAAAAGAGATAGTGTATTTCTTGTTCTGTTCTTTCAGGTTTTTCGTCAAGTTCTAGTTCTAGAGATTTGGCAAGATTATTGGTTGTACTCATTATTGATATAGTGAAAGTTTGTTGTTGCTGTCCCATGGATGTAGGCACATATTGCCCAACCACTTAAATTTTATTTATCTTGGTTATTTGTTTTTCGATTTCCGGAGTTTGTTCTTGTTTTTCCCATTCTTAAACGTGATATTCTCATCTTCCGTAAAAGTCACTTTGATAATAAGTGGCTTGATATTTAATAACACCACTTAGAATAAAAAGTCCACATGTTACTAGTCTTTTTTGAACATGGTAAATTTGGGGCGTACATTACCTATATTATAATTCAATGGCTGCTTAGAGTTTATTTTAGTTGTTACTACATGGGTTGTTTAAGGAAATTTGATCAGGGTCCAGGGAACTGATCCAGGGTTGGTGACTAAGGCTACATCATATTGAATTAAAATATTCATGAGTGCTACTAGTCCTAGTAATTTAATTTTCACTTCATCTATAGTAGTTTGGTATGGCTTGTCCCAAACGACCTGGTGGTTCTCGGCTCATGCTGCAAATAGCTTGTCGACAAATGGGGATATGGCTAGGCAATGCTACTTTTGCCAACTTTTCTTTCCTGACCTAATGTAAAACAATATAGTTGATCACATTAGAAAAGGAACACGATATTAAAGAACCCAATGTGAGCATGCATGTAAAAAACTGTGAACTTGGGTTCTGTCATTGTCCTATGGCTGATACGTTTTGCTCTCCCCAGAGTCCCAGACCAAGTATTGGTGAAAGCTCTTCTCATAATCTAAGCTAAGGATTTTGGTTTGATGGCCACATTTCAAATTCTGTTGCTGTATTGTGAGAATATTCATTGTACTTGGAATAACCGTTTTGTGTTCTTTAAACCAACTGTATATTGTTAGGTTTTTTGGCTCGTCAAAGTGTCCTAGTTGGTTTAGGATTGTTTTTGGGAAAATTAGAGGTATACCGATTCTTGTCCTAGAGGGTTTAGGAAAGAATTTCAGTTTTCCTTATTCAATTTAGGTTTGGATTTCTAGAAGTCTATTTGGATTTGGATAAGTGTATTTTCCTAATCTACTTAGAATAGGAATTCAATTAGCCTTGGGACATGTAAGTTGAACCTATGCCTATAAATAGGTTGCAGCAAGGCATAAATCTGTGAGAGAGAAGACTCTGACAGCCAAGAGGAGAGAGAGAGATTAGTTCTAGTGTTTTGTAAAAGTTTTGTAATTCGTTATTATTAATCAAGGGACCGGTGATTTCTCTACCTAATGTAGAGAAATCACAACTGGACATAGGCAAAAGTTCTGCCGAACCAGTATAAGTCTTGTGTTTTCTAAGTTTTCTATATTTGCTAGTTTAGTCTATTGCCGTTGGTTAATTAAAAAACAAGGTCTAGTGTGCAGTTTTTGAATAATTGGTATCAAGAGCTAGGTTCAAAGTGTTCTACGATGTCAAAAGGGAAGATGAATGCAGATCTAGGACCTGCGTTAAAGCCCTTTGACGACAAGGATGACTTCACGGACTAGCAAAGGATGATGAAGAACGTACTAATATAGCAGGATTTGGATGATGCACTCAATGGTAAGAAGCCGACAAACATGACAAAAGCAACATGGACTAAGGTTCTCAAGAAGGCCAAGAGTTCCATCGAGATCCATCTCACAAGATCAGTTCGGTCACACATCACCGAAAAAATGACTGCCCAGGAAGAATGGTTAAAGTTGGAGAATGTTTATATGGGCAAAACCATGTCCAATAAACTTTTTCTAAAGGATGAACTATTCGGGCTTCATCTAGAAGATGGTGATATTGAAGATCACGTATGCAGGTTCTAGAATTGCATAGCTAGTCTTCAAAAGGTTGAAGAAACTTACAAAGATGATGATATGACTACAGAGGCAGAGTATATTGCATTGGCCGAAGCTGGCAAGGAAGCAATTTGGCTGAAAGGAAGCAATTTGGCTTAGTGGCTTGGTAAGTCAAATGGGAATCACTTAAGATTGTGTGAAGCTGAAGTGTGATAGTCGAAGTGCCATTCACTTGGCAAAGAATCATGTTTTTTCTGGAAGATCAAAGCACGTTGAAGCAAGGTATCACAAAATCAGAGATTGGGTGGAGTCTAAGGAGATTTGGATTGAAAAGATTCATACGGATGACAATGCCGCAGATTTCCTTACAAAGATAATGCCAGCCAAGAAGTTCAAGCAATGAGATTCGGATTGAAAAGATTCATACGGATGACAATGCTGCAGATTTCCTTACAAAGATAATGCCGGCCAAGAAGTTCAAGCATTGCTTGAACTTGATCAATCTCGTTGATTGATTAAAATGGAGCACCTCCTCACTTGAGGTGCAATCAAGCAAGAGAAGATTGCCAAGGTGAAGACTCTTGAAGATTTCCAGAGCTGCTTCAAGAAGGTTCAAAGATACTCTGGGGTGCAACGATCAAGACTTGGTTTGACTCACCAAGGTGGAGATTGTTAGGTTTTTTGGCTCATCAAAGTGTCCTAGTTGGTTTATGATAGTTTTAGGGAAAATTAGAGGTATACCGATTCTTGTCCTAGAGGGTTTAAGAAAGAATTTCAGTTTTCCTTATTCAATTTAGGTTTAGATTTCTATAAGTCTATTTGGATTTGGATAAATGTATTTTCCTAATCCACTTAGAATAGGAATTCAATTAGCCTTTGGGACATGTAAGCCGAACCTATGCCTATAAATAGGTTACGGCAAGGTATAAATCTATGAGAGAAAACTGTGACAGTCGAGACAACAGAGAGGAGATTAGTTCTAGGGTTTTGCAAAAGTTCTGTAATTCTCTATTATTAATCAAAGGAGTGGTGGAGAAATCACAACTGGACGTAGGCAAAAGTTCAGCCGAACCAGTATAAGTCTTGGTGTTTCTAAGTTTTCTATTTTTGCTAGTTTAGTCCATAGCCATTGGTTACATTAAAGAACAACGTCTAGTGTGCGGTTTTTCAATATATAGTACATCTACATTAATGCATGACGCAACACATTTTAGAAGTGAAAAGTGATGTCTCTTTAGTGATTGGATTTGTCTCCCTTTTTCTAAAGATTGTTTTTCTGCATGTTTACAGATTCAGAGGATGATGATTAGGCGGAAGATTTTCCCAAGTTCTTTTTTTTTTAGTATGATGAGGAGACTGCTTTTGACATGGTTTATCGCTGCACTCTAAAATGGTCATTATCTGTAGGAAGGGCTTTGATAATTTCTTCCATTTATAAATTTTCTATGATGATTCTAATGTGTAGTTGTATGGAGGTAGGAACATGGAGCATGTCTCATGATATATTTGTTTGCCTTTCCCGGTGGAGTGTTTGTTTTGTTAACCTTTCCGGTGTATAAATAGAAGGCAATTCTTGTATAATTCTTCTCTGGATAATCACTTGTTTCGACTTGGCCTTTGTATCGAGAAATGAAAGGTATTCACAATATAGAAAAGAGAAAATTTCTATGGTATGCTATGTGATTTGATTCAAGACCTCCCTCCTGTGTAGTAGTGCTTCGAACTCTTATTTCTCTCTTCTTTTTTCTCCATCTGTAATGGAAAAACAAGAATAGAAACATTTCCAAGGGGACCCTTTGCTATGCCATCTTCAGTTTATGTTGCGTAATTTGTTTGTTTTCCCATAAAGATTAAAGATTGTTGTGATGTCCCAATTCCACATGCCTGCTTTTTATGCACAATTCAACTTGCATTTTCCACTACATTTTGATTGATAATAAAACCTTCACTTTGGGGAGGCTCTCACATTCAAAAAATTCGCCAATATGTCAATTAGATTGTGTCATTTGATCCGCCTCTGGACAGACAAAAATACAACTGAAATGTTCTGTCTCCAAGTGCTTTTAGGTCCAGTTTGGCGTTTTTTTTTTTTAACCAAAAACTGTTTCACTTTAAAGTTGAGCAGTAAAAAGTGTTTGGTGCTTATTTTAAAGGGAACTTTAACGAAAAGCACCTAGTATTGTTTACTTTAACAAAAAACCATATTTTTGAACTAAAAAGTCAATAATGGTACTATTTATTTTACCCTTTATTTTGTCTTTATCGTTAAAACTCAGAGTTTTCAAGTTTTTTTCATTAGTTTTCCTCATTTTAAAAGCAATGACCTCCACACATTAGCTTTTAAAAGCAACCTGTAGTTTGCTTTTAAAAGCTGCTTTAATAAAAAAGGGAGTTGAGCCTTTAGAATATTTTTAATTCATGTAATAAGCTTATTAATTTTAAACAATGGCATTATTTATCCTTCTAGACACAACTTTTGCATTGCTTTTTATACTCGTACCAGTTTTAAAAATACAGTTTATCAAATGCTTAACTACTTTATTTTGCAACTAATTATTTCTAAAAGCATAGCAAAAGCAATTTATTGAAAAAGCACAACAATCCCAAATTGGTCCTTAAAAGGCTTAAAGCAATTTTTGGAAACAACAAATTGTTTCGGCAAGGTTTGCTGGTAGCACTTCGAAGTGCTTCTTAAAACTTTCAATCCGCTTCTAATTAATAAATGCATTTATAAGTATAAGTGATCATTCGTGAAATACAAAGTGTATGTGAGCATAAGTGTTTTTTAGAGATTCGCTCTCAAATTGGCTGTTATTAGGTTTTGAGAGAGAGGTGGATCAAATTCTGTCTATCGACTTAACTGGTGCGGAGGTGTTAAAAATAGCAGACGCACGCAACCACCGAAAACAAAACTGACAACCAAGAGGAAGTATGGTGGATGAAGAACTCGAATGGAGGGGCACCGGGAATGATTGGCTTGTCACCAGGAAAGTGTGACTTTTTGTAGACAATCATGATACAGATTCCACACAGAACTTGTGGCCATTTCCATTAAGGTAAAGTCATGCAGGGATATGCATACGTTCTTACTCATCCGGGAATCCCCTCAATTGTAAGTTTCTAAATTTGATTTACCCTCTCTCAAGTAAGAAAGTTGACATCTTGGTAAGCGCTTTGCTAGTGCTCGTTTAGCAGATATAAAATATGAGATTTAGGAGGCTATGGAGTTCGGATTCTTGTAGTTATTAGAGCACAAAGCTGTTTGAACAGAAAAAGTTAACTTTCTTAGGATTTGGGTCTTATGTTGCCCTAGTGAACTTGTCTTTAACTGATTACTTTAGCTACATTAGGTATTAAAATCTGTTTATCTGATTGTCCTCGTGACAGTTTTACGCCCACTTCTTCGATTGGGGCATGAAAGAGGAGATCAGTAAACTCGTTGCAATCAGGTTAAGGAACCGGATCAGACGTGACAGTGTCCTGCGTATTCTAGCTTCTGCTGCAGATCTTATGTAGCTTCCATTTATGAGAAAATCATAGCTAAGATTGGTCCAAGGTATGATGTTGGGAAACTACCAAATTGCAACTTTTGGAAATGACTACTGCGTGTGGGAGAAAAAGCATGAGCCCTTGTTGGAATGAAAACTAACTACAACTTCTGTATTACAGGTGTATTATATGCTTATTATTGAGGAAAAACAAATAGTAGTCCTCAACCGAAAAAGAAAATTCGATTCATTAATGCCCCAATGAGGTTAGTACAAGAATATTAATTCAATTTACGTGTAGAATTTCTCTGGAAGCAACCATTTGGCCAAGTCAGGTTAGTGTTTATGTTGTCTGGTTTGATTCAAGAGCATGTTAAGAATTCTTATCGATCGAGAATATTACACACCTAAATTTTTTAACTAAACTGGTTCAATTGATGGTGTGTGAACATGCATTGTCCCTTCTTAATTGCTAAAAGAAAAATGGGGTTCAGAGTAGACCCGAATCTGAATCAGTGCTACTGCTTTACTTGACAAACAAACTTTAGTAACGCTAGCAACACTGCTAAAGCTTTCACAGACGAGCAATTATTTTCTCTACCCAATTCAACCGTTAAGCATTCATGGTTGGAATTTGATGTGCAAAAGTAGTAGACGCAGCGAACTGCACTTTAATTTCAAAGAACAGAACAGAAAACTTATCTAATGGTTCAAGACCCCTGTCGAAGTGGGAATGGAACCCCAGTCATTAGTTTATCGGCAAAGTAGCGGTCAGAGTTTCAGTTAAACAAAACAGTCAGGATTTCACTTACCAAAACAGTCAAGTTTTTCATGTCTTTTGGCAAAGTATCAGTCAGGGTTTCACTTGCCAAAACAGTCAGGATTTTGGAACCAAGTCAACTCTTCTCCTAAGATTGATCATAAATTCATAATCTCCTTATGATAAAGAGATTTATTTTGCAAGTTCGTTATTACGGGTAGTTCCTACAAAGGATCGGACTAATGACATACAATACTTGAATTGCTACAGAGTTGGTTCTCATCCTTCAGAGACTATGAGTGTAATAGGAGCATCCGTCGACAAAAGGATCACCCTAAGATAATCACCTCATGGCTATTGAGAACGAATCAAATCAGATGGTTCTATTTCTCAATCTTTCTTACTTGCTCATACGGAACCAAGGTCGAAAAGATTGAGAGTCATTCACAACTACTGATGAAGGATTCCTCAAAAAGCTAAGGTTTAGTAATCCTTTTTTAGAAATCAAACGAATTCAGTCTTATACATACGCAAGGAAGGTAATCAAAAAAGAAAGAAGATGAGTCTTGTTTATATATATTGAAATAAAACATTCACAAAACAATTCAAGGCTTCAAGCTCATAGGAGACATGAACGCTGGGTCCGTTTCCCTCATCTATTTCCTTCTCTCCATCACTCTCACATCCAAATTCACTGCTTCTCAGATTCCATTTCAGGTATTTATAACCTCTCTCTGTCACTCTCCCTCCCTCCCTCAGAGACTAATGTGTTTTCGGGTGGATGGTGATCAGAGGTTCAATTGGGAATCAAGCAAGAAAGGAGGATGGTACAACATTTTAAAGCAGTCTGTACAAGACCTAGCTAGTTCTGGAATCACAAATGCTTGTCTTCCTCCACCCTCTCATGCTATTTCAGATGATGGTATGTATCTGTCCTAACTCTCTTTCGAACCTTGTCATTAGTCCAGACCAGATTTTGTTTTAAGTTTTTGTGTTATATGACAATTCTTGTACTGAGGCTTCACCTCATATCTTTCCTTTCTACGGATACATGCCAGGAAGGCTCTATGATCTCAATACAAAATATATAAACAAAGATGAATTGGAAGTCACTGGTAAGCACATATGGAATACAGTCTGTGGCAGATATAGTTATAAACCACAGAACTGCAGAGAAGCAAGACGAGAGAGGAATATGGTGCATCTTCAAAGGAGGAATTGACGATAATCGTCTTGATTGGGGCCCATCTCTTATTTGCAGCAATGACACGGCTTATTCTGATGGCAAGGGGAACTCTGACACTGGAGAGGACTTTGGCGCCGCTCCTGACATTGACCACAAAAACACTAGGGTCCAGAATGAGCTCTCGGATTGGATGAATTGGTTAAAGACTGATATCGGATTGAGTGGTGGGAGATTTTATATTGTCAAGGGATATGCTCCTGAATTTACCAAGTTGTATGCGACAAACACAAGTCCAAATTTCACATTAGGGGAACTTTGGAATTCCCTTTCATATGGAAGTGATGGAAATCCGAACCCTGATCAGGATGCACATCGTGGAGCGTTAGTGGGATGGGTGGAGAGTGCTGGAGGAGATGTCACAGCATTTGATTTCACAACTAAAGGGATACTTTAGGCTGCAGTCCAAGGGGAGCTTTGGCGGCTGAAGGACTCCAATGGCGGTGCTTCGGGGATGATTGGCGTGAAGCCAGGAAATAGTGTAACTTTCATCGACAATCATTATACAGGTTCTCCACAACATGTGGCCGTTTCCATCTGGTAAGGCCATTCAAGGATATGCCTACATTCTCACCCATCCAGGAATCTCATCAATTGTAAGCTCTTTTTCATCTAGCTTTGAGTAACGCTAGGCAAACCAAATTCACACCATTGTTGACACATTCACTAATAAAACTCGGTACACATGAAGTGATAAGGTCCACCTGTATTAGAGTGTGTCAACAATGGTGTTAGTTTTACGTTTTCACAAGCTAGAAATTTGCCATCTTTCCTTACGATGAACTACCTTTCCAATCTATATAAATATAAAATAAAAAAATGTGAGACTTGTGGCAGAGAAAGAACTGATTGATTAGCATTTGAGTTATTTCTATTCCCTTATTTATAATTGATCTTACGGTACATGCTTAAATTTGTTATCTGATTATTTTTGTAACAGTTTTACAACCACTTCTTTGACTGGGGCTTGAAAGTCGATCTCTAAACTCACTGCAATCAGATAGAGAAATGGGATCAAACCCGGCATTGCCTTGCGCATTCTAGCAGCTGATGCAGATGTCTATGTAACTGCCATAGATGAGAAAATCATCGTCAAGATTGGTCCGAAGAGCGACGTAGGCCAACTTATACCTTCAAACTTCCGCATTTCGACTTCTGGATGTTAACCATAGTGGAGCACTCAATAATATAAAAAACAGAGA